TAAATATTCCTACATTTTTCCAGCATAGAATATTGCTAGCAAGATTTAAGATTATTTCTGAACATTAACGTAATTTATGTACCCACAATAACATTTATGATATTTATTTGGAAACTAATATGAAATAAACATAATTTTAGGAAAGGATATTCGTTTAAGCTAATAAATTGCACTTGAAATTTGTTCATCCGATCAGTTCGTTTGTGGAACATACATAAAATATAACCGAACCTTTATATAAAATGAGTGGACATGGGCTTTAATTAAAATAACTTGATGCATTTCAGAGGAACACTCGAATACATTGATCACATTTTAGTTAAAAAGAGGCACACACTTTCTGACCTATGCATAAAGCTTGCCTTCTGGCACATGCCTTTTGTGTGACCTTAGACGAAAGGCTTATCTCTAAGAAAACAAAGTTCATTATACAGAACTATAGTTGATGTCTGCGTTTGAGCGATGTGAAATCCATGACGTCGCTTCTTATTTATCGCCATAGCTTTTTGTCATTTTTCCTTCTCTCTCCTCTCCTCCTTCCATCTTATTTTGTCTACCTAAGCTAATTCCACGGAGCAGTATCGGAAAGCTATAACAGCAACCTTTGTAGTAGCTTTGTCCCCTTTCGAAACCCTCTCTGCTGCTATTACATTCTACTACTTACCTTTACTTACCTTAGAAATTACCTCATAACTTATTCCATTCTCAACATAAAAACAGCTTTAAAGTTGTTTTAGAAAGAAGTATATGAAGAGAAACCACATTAAATTTAAACCCTAGAAAAACAGGACGAAAATCAGGTCATATACGTCGGAAGAGAAGCCTTGATTGAATATATAAAAGGCAAGGTATCAAACCCCGTTGACGGTGTGTGACACACTGTAGACGTGGCACCATATAATTTTTATATATTATATCAAGTGGATAAGCAAAGGGTAGGAGAAGCAGTCCATGTCTTATATGTTCTCCGTTTACCATATACGTAAATTTCCCACCGTTCCTGGTATTGGGATTCTACATTTTATGCATGTCAGTTTAATACCTTAACTGAATAACTTGTACACCTGGATGTTTTAGTAATAATACAGAGTGGGGAACGAGGGTGTGACGTATTTCATGTCGCTAGCCTATGGACGAACCTCACATCGCGTCCCACACTGTATTACGTGTTTTATATTTACCCTGAAGAATGCAATCAACAGTAA